CTTTCCACCTTGGTGAGAAAGTAATTTCTAATTATGGTTTACAGCGGTTTTCTCACCTAAGTTAAATAGAAGTTAGAGGAAATGTGTGCATTTAAAAAAGCAATCTTCTAGTCTGCTGGTAAATAAGACAGAATTATGCATAAACTGTGCCTAGGCAATCTTGGGGTTTCATGTAAATGACTGAATTATTTTGAACCAAAATGAAAATAATCTACTCTCTTTTATGAGAGGAGGGAAGTAAAATAATTCACTTAGTTAATACTTATTTTAGATTATATATTGTTAGTGTGTGCAAACGGGATTCAGGTAGCTAGCTGTTCTCTATTGATTTCATGTTCTGTTATGATTGACCACAACTGGCAACAAGCACTTCAAGCAAAAATGACCTTTACATTTTCATGAAAACCTCAGTTCTGCCACTTATTAGCTATGTGTGACTTCGGACAGTTACTTAACCCTAGTTACCTGAGTCTCAGTTTCCTTACTTTTAAATAGAATTAATAATAATAATATCACCTTTAGGAATTCATATACACACATTACTTGGCACATGTTAACTAATCATTAGACATGATCTTGATGCTCACCTTGCCTCTGGGGTTAGCATAATTATGCTTTTTCCTAACCAAAGAATAAACCCAGAGCTACAATATGTAGGTATGAATAGTTAAGTGCCCCATCAGAAGGGGAATTTCTATTTCGACATGTATTTCCCAGCCTTTCCATTTATGTCCCCATGCCCCACCTTGATATCTAATTCTACTTTGGAGATTTATTACCTTGTTCTAAGCATTGCCTTCTTCCCAAAGAGGTCTGTAACAATGCAAATGCTCCAGGAAAGGATCATTAAAGCCATTAACACTTTGTGAGAATGAGTTTTTGTGATTTTTTTTTTACAAGACAAAATATCCCACACACTGATACTTGGTACTTGGGAAAGGATAAAAGTGCTCTGAAAGAAGGGCAAAAAGGCACAGGATGTATTTCACAATTTTGCTTGCATGAGCTTTGTCAGTTATCATTTATTAAGTACTAAAAACCTTCCGGAAGGAAACTGAAGAAAGTGGCATTAGTAGTTGCCTATGGAAAGGGTCTGGGAAGTCAGGTACAAGAGTGGGGAGAGGAGGGTGAGATTTACTTACAATGCATATCCTTCTGTGCCTTTTGAATTTGTTACTGCCGGCATGTATAATCTATCTAAAAATTTAATTTTTCTTAAAAAACCCAATCTTTCCACCCTTTCACTTGTCTTACTTCAGCATTTAGATATTTATTTACAGGACTCTGACATTTAGAAATTGACATTTTTTTTCCTCTAAAAAATCAAGTTAGATTCATTTAAAATACGACTGGCTTATCAAGGCTAACGTATTTGTTTTCAAAGTATTAAACATATTAAAATATTCATGTTCCTAAATACAAAGAGTTATTAGACAACTAACATTATTTGCTGACTTTCTGTATATACAGTTTTTTAACTAAAATTTAAGTCTCCTGCAGACAGGGCCTGTGTTTTGTTAACCTTTGGAGGACCCATTGTGGTGAACAAAGAGCTCTTATAGGCTTACTTTCTTGAGTTCTGTTCTCAGTATTTTCTTCTGAGGAAGAAAAGTCATTAAATATAACATGATGTTTTTATTAAGAAAGAACTTCTCAGGAATTTTATTAAAACAAACAAACAACAACAAGAGGCAGAGACAGAGAAAGGGAGTGAAAAAATAGTTTAAATCACCCATACTTGTCATGAAACTTTTGGGACTCATTGAGAATGCTTGCAAAGCACCAACTATGTCATAAGGAGGGAAAATTAAGGTTGAACTAAAATCATGGACACATTTGTTCAACAAAACATTTGCTGCATAACTACTGTGTTCAAGGCCTTGGGAATAAAATGTTGAACAATGCAGACATGATCCCTGCCCTCATAGTTTTCATAATAGTGGGGAATACTGAACAGTAAACAGGCAATTACCAAGCAGTATAATAAATACCATAAAAGGGAGCACAGAAGGCTGTAGGTGTTCATAAAAGGAGAACCAAGCCTATGCTTGGGAAGGTGATGTCTAACATTACACTGACTAGGACTAGAGCTTTAGAGCCCTGCAAACCTGAGTTGAAATCCTGGTTTCACTGTTTCCAATCTATAATCTCGGCCAATTTATTTAATCTCTCTAAGCCTCAGTTTCAACACTTTAAAATAGGAATAATGGTAGTATAGAGCTCAAAGAGTTGATGTGATCATTCACTGAAATGCATGTCATAAATCTGGTACGATGTCTAGCAAATGGCAAGCACCCAATAAAGATTAGCTAATAATATTAATAGTGACAGTAAGCTGAGAACTGAAGCATGATTACAACCAGGTAAAATGGAGGAGAGTAAGAAGAAGAGTGTCCCAAGCAAAGGAGAAATGCACACCCAGAAAAGCAATAGCATAGTGAGCTTAAGACACCTGGGGTGGGATCAGAGGTACAGGTGAAGCTGGAAAGGCAAGCAGAGCTAAGCTCAATGAGTTATCAAGCTCATTAAAGGCCCCTCAAGAATTTTAATCGCAGGAGGGACAGAATCAGATTCGAGTTTTGGCCACGGTATGGAGAATGGAATGGTGAGTGAGGAGACAAGAGGCAAGGGGGTCAGTGATAATAATTTTTAAATAATGTCTCTGCTGTTGTGGAATTTCAGTTAGCGATGCAGGTGTCACTTGAAACATTTATATATATATATATATATACACACACATATATGTATATATATATATACACACACACACACACACACACACACACACACACACACACACACAAAAAATCCAAGAAGGACCTTAAAGTAGTTATTGTCAGCTTGTTGGTATTAGGTAATTAGCATTTCATTTATTCATTCATTTATTCAACAAGCATGTATTGACACCAACTAGGACAGTGAACTGGTGCTCTGAAAGATTTCAAAAAGAATTAGTTACTCTGCATGGCCTGCCTTCCAGAAGCAACCTGTCCAACATGATTCCCTGTATTCCTCTCTCTGTCTGAAAGGTCTGTTACTCTGATGATCCATATCATGTGCAGTGGCAAAGTCATTTTTGGGAGAAACCACATACTAGCAGGAAACTCAAGCTGGGAGGCACTGCTACATAGCAGATAAGGATGGAATCTAAGGCGTGAAGATGACTCCCCTTCAACCTGAGAAGGGGAAATGTCACTCTAACTACAACAGTGTACAATAGAGTTCTTACTGCTTAAGAAGGAGAAAATCTTCCGTGATCCATTGTTAAGTGAATAATATAACCGACGTTCATAAAATGTCCTGTCCTATCAATTTCAGGGGGATTAATAAATTCTGCAACAACTCTATAAAATACCATTATTATAGGAGAGAAAACTGAGGCAAGAGACACTCCCCAAGGCCACAGAATTAAACCCAGTATGATATTCTTATTCACTGTACTATGTGGCCTCTGGCAGTGGACCACCAGGCTGATATTAGAGTGAAGCTAATTTAAAATGTATGCCTCAAAAATCTGACAAGGAAGAAAGATCACTGCCCACTTTAGTATCAGGAAGCCCAAAATTTAGAAAGTTTTATTATAGGAATAAAATGGAATGGATGATTAAATATGTGACAGTCTCTTAAGAGGAAATTGGACTACCCTCATCAAGTATGTACCATTTCGAAATGGTTTTTGAAATCTATTTTACTCTTTTAAGTATAAAATATGACCTAGGACACATTAGAAAGTATTCAAATGGGGTTCCATGCTTATCACTTTAAAGCAGAGTATATCATCTCACAGACTCAAAGATGGAGAGGTGTGGCAAAGGAAATAAAAGAGCTAAGAGATTCGGACCTGTTACTCTTTTGGTTTTCTGCTAAGATAGGGTGAAAAAGAAAGCTGATTATCTCATTGAGAATTAAATGGAATATATTTATTCTCACAGACCCTGTAAGGTTCTATCAACTAAGTAGTGAAGCATGTGTAGAATAAGCTCTGTGGGGCATTTGCAATATGAATTGAATAAAGACAAAATAGGAAACAACAAAAAAAAATCTCTAACCCTCCAGATGTGAAAGAAACCACCAGCTTCTTGCAATGCCTCTTGATGCCAATAGCAACACAGAGTCTTGAGCCTGGGCTCTCAGAGGGCAATGAGAAGAATCCCAGGTCAGATGGCATTTTAAAATCCAATCTCACTCTACTTGTCTCTCCCCACTAACCTACCTTGTATTTAAAGCAAGCACAGCCATTTTCACAAGCTGCAATGTTTTAAAGTAGTCACTGTCCCTTGAGAACACACAAAGCTCTAATTGTCATGAGTTTTAAAACATTGAGAATAAAAATTATGGAATTTGTGAAATAACCATTTCTAATTAACACACACGCACCACTGAGTACAGTTTTAAGTCTAGCCTGCATGTGCACATTCATCCCAGCTCACCAACAAACCACTCCACTTGCATATCATTTACTTGCCAGTCCCTTTCTGTGGATTCATTTGCCACCACTGTAAAGTAACTTGGGATGCCCTAGGTCTGTGGCACAGACACCTCTCAGCTCCGGGGAGAACTTGGGGGCTCCAGTGTCACCAATTGGCACTGCCTCCTGGAGTCCTCGCCTTGCATCCACCCGCTCGCCCGGAGCGCTACCCCTCCATCCCCGTGGGAAACACTCAGAGTTGTATTGTCTTTGCTGCTTTTTAATCTTTACAAAGAGAAAATGATTGTGAAATGGATTCTCCACCCCACCCACCTGCCCGAGTCCACAAAACCACACTCGATCGGGTTGTCTCCGAGGCAGCCAACCTGCGCCAACAGCCGGGAGGCGTGAACAATGAACTTCTCTCTCTCTCTCTGACTCTCAGGTACACACCCTCTCCCCGAAATGGGAAGTTTTGAGCTAGCCAGGGGTCCAATTACGCAATTCCCAGGGCAACTCGGGCGCGGACAGCAGGGGAGGGCCCAGTGTTCATCCCCGGCCGCGCCCCTCGCGTCTCCGGGCAGGCAGTTACCTCCTTCCTCCGGCTCGGCGCCCCGGGTCGGGTGATGAGGGCCGTCTCCTCGCACACCACGGCCACGTCTTCCACGAACACGCAGTCCGGGAGGCTCTCGTCGGCCGGCAGCATTACCACTTGCAGCCCCAGCTTACTGCCCAGCACGCCCACGTAGAGCTGGTGCTGCCGCTCCGCGCGGGCGAAATCCACCTCGTCGCCCTTGGTTTTCCTCAGTGCGTGCTGGCAGAGGGACTCGGGCAGCGCCCGCACCACGGCATGGGTGGCGCGGCCGAAGGCAGCCGGGTGGCCGAGCGTGGCCATGACTCCGGGCGGCGGCAAGGACGCAGCAGGGGGAGCGGCGGCGGGTGCGCCCGGCAGCTCCCCTTGGCAGCAGATGAATGTGATGCAGGAGCCGGCTGGCGCCCGGAGCCCTGCCCGCGCGACTGAGCATGCCCAGAGCTCCGGGCGCCGGCCCGCGCACAACCCGTGCACCCACCCTGGCACTCCCGGGTTTTGCGGTGATCCCGGCGGGAGTTAAAGTGGAGAGCACAGCGCGAGGAGCGGGGCTGGAGGAGGTGACCGTGGCGGGGGTGAGCGCAAGAGGTGGGTGTAGGTGGGGGAACCTCAACGGAGAGTCACCACACCCGGACCTGACGTTACCTGTATTTCGCCGCAGGTGCACCCCTCGCATCGCCTCCAAGGCAAACTTAGAGAGCGTCCATAGTCTGGACAGAGCGACTGGAGGGCTTCCTGGTGATCAGGCAAAAGTTGGGATGATTCTTTTGTAGATCAGTACTTTGACCTCTCTCGATACTTACTCTCCTGTTCTCAGGTTGCCCAGAGCGTGGTACCACCTCCCCACCCCCCACCGCCCCCCACCACCCAGTTCTGAGCTTGAGAATCTCTCTGCACATCCAAGTCCACATTACCTTGACTTTCTCTGCAAATGACCTCTCACCCCATGTGAGACTCGAGATTATAAAAAGATTGTATTTCTTCCAGTCTTCTAAAAAGAGCAAGAGTCCAAAAGACACATACAAAAAGAAAAATAGAGACATAGAAACTCAAAGTATTTCAAGGACAATCAGCTCTCACTAACTTTGTGATTCTGGAGTGTTTGTCTCCAGGGACCACAGAGTTAGGGAGGCAAAGACCAATCGTGCTTCCCCCACAATAGATATGTGCTCACTTTGTGCGGTGTTGGATGTGTGGCATCAGAACTCCTTGTCATGGAGAAAGAGAATTTCTAACCCCTCCTTGGCCTTCCCCTCAGTCTGTACAGACTCGGTGGAATTCCTGTGGTATCTGTTGAACGATTCTTTTCCCATACTCCTCAGGAAGTGCCTTTCCCTTCTTAATGGTACTTCTGCTCTTTTTGAGGGGAATATCCACTTCGAAAACCAGATTATAACGCCAAAATAATCTCAGGTAATAATTCTCTTTCCTCATGTTCTATAGTACATTTCTAATTTAAAGATTGAGTAGGGAGATCATTGAACATTAGATTTGAACGAGACCTTAGAAACCCTCTCATCTAATTTCCTACACAATGTTCTTGAATTCTAGCTAAAACATCTATGATAGTGATTGGATCTGAACATTTTAAACCTCACTTACTTACAAAGTGTATTCCACTTTCGAAGAACAAGATGGTTTTCATTTGGGGGTTAAATCCCCTTGGTCTGAGTTCTGCCTTCTGACATTACCTAACATGCTAATATTTACATATCTGAAGACAGTTCTGATATCTATTCTGCTGCTATTACCCTCCATCCCTACATCTTCCAGAACTTAAGCCTGAAACACCCGAAAAGTAACTAGTGATTTCGTTTCTAAGTCCCTTCAACATTCTGGTCATCTTCCTTTCGATAAATACCAGTTTACCTGTATTCCTTTTAAATCATGGTATCCGGAAAAGAAACAATTTTTCCTGTGTGGTCTGGCCCTGCCCTGACTATAGCAGAACTCTCGTTCCAGATGCTTGACTTTCAGTAACACTAATATTGTATTTGCTTTTTTGGTGGTCTGGAGTCAAGGCCCAGGTCATAGTCTTATTGCCAGAACTCTGACCCCAGTTTTTATGAAATGAGAGTTTCTAGGAGCAGATCAATCTGAGAATGATGGAACAGTTGTCCCAAATGAACTCAGAGAAGATGTGATCTGCTTTCTCTCCCTTCTCCCAAGTGTAAAACTTGAATTTACCCAGATCATGTGGCATTTCTCACCTTCAAAAAATGAGAGGTCTAAGTGAAGGACAGCTATGACCCTGACACTGGGGAGTGGGACCACAAGTAAAATAACAAACTTTTAAGACCTACTAGGTTCTACTTCTGAGGCAAAACTCTAAGGGGACCCAGGCTCTCCTATTGGCATCAGCTTTGTGTCATAAATCACTGAATGGTATCTTCAAACAGTAGATTCCCACCATTGCTACAGGTGAAAGATGACCCATATGCCGAGCTTGCCCAGGTTAGAATATGGGACTTTGTTCACTCCTTTATCCAAAATTGAGGCTCCATACATCTCCAGCTGACCTCCACTTGGCAACTTTAATTCATGCCTGTGCCTTGTCAGAGCCTAAATGCTGTACCTGACACCTAGTGCCCTGACCCTAACTATGAACGGAGTCCTGTATACCACTTTGGGCTCATGTCAGCCTTGCAGCCAATTAAAACCTGAAAGTTTTTTCTTACAAATTGATGTTAGCCATGTTAAATTGGGTTATTGGTTTTTAAGGTCCAAATTTGTATTTATCTCTATTAAATGTTATCTGCTTTGTTCCAATGTGTCTAGTTTTGATTCTGTCATCTCGTACATTATTTATTACCTCTCATTTTGTGTCATCTGAAATTTGATAAGCATGCCTTCTGTCTCCTCTAGCAGTTGTCAAAAAAATGTTAGAATGTGTATATTGGTGAAAAGAATAATAAAAACACCAACTGCAATAAATTATAGTTTTCATGCCTTCTTACTTGAGCAATGAAGAACTGTTTTTAGGAAAATGGACTTTATTGAGCCTAATACATTTATAAATGTGTTTTCCTCACAAATATTTATTGAGACTTCCCAAGGCACAACACCATGTTATGTACTTCAGAGTCAAACAAGAAGCATGAAAACATGATCCTTGACTTTGAAGAGCTCACAATTTCATTGGAAAAACAAGACATCCAAAATTGGAGCTATGATAAGGGCATATAAGCGGTAGAGACAACAAAATGCTACAAGAAGTTGAGGGAAATAGATATCACTGCAGATGATGGGAATGGAAGAAAGCTACTTAAATGCAATTGGATTTGGTTTAGGCCTGGAATAATTTTTAGGATATGAATAATTGAGAATTCTAATGAAAAGTATATGCAAAAGCCAGACACATGTTCAAGGAACAATTGGATCAGCTTGATTCACATATGTGTGGGTTAAGGTGACTCTAGCTGCTTTAACAAAGCAACCCCAACACATATAATGGCACAAAGTTGATAGAAGTCTATCTCTTGTTCACTGAAAGTCTAACACAGGTGTTCCTGATTGGTTCCTGACTCCTCAAGCACTATTCAGGGGTCTAGAATTCTTCCATTTTGTGGCTCCAATTCTTCAGAATTTAGCATCAGGTTCACTGTGGGGAGTCAATTATGGACATGTGAAAACGTATAACAAGGAACAAGGATATTTGTGTACTTGGCAACAATGTAAGAAGTTGAGATTGTAAAGCGCTGGGAAAAACCGGGAGGTAACTGTTCACATAGCAATCACTGCACATTCCTTGCTACAGTTTAGCAGAGAGTTCTGAGTTGTGAGAATCTCATTGTTCTACTAGATAAGTAATCTGGCTAACCTTGGTTCTTGACTACTGTCTTTCTTATTGTAATGTTATAAATAGTGTGTTCTAAATAAACTCGGGGACACAGACACAGCTTGATTCTGTGATCCCTCCTGCAATTCTGTCCGTCTTCTTTCTTTTCCTCAGTCCATGCTCCTCCTTCCAGGTACCCTCAATTACTTCGTCGGCTGGCTCCGACAAGTGGTGCCCGAACAGGGACCTGAACACGGGGGATAACAGCTAGGACGTGCCACAGAGTAAGGCGTGCGCACGCGGAATCTGGGGACCTAAGAGTCCTGTAGGCGGCCAACCGTAAGTACGCAGGAGTATTGTAATATAGAAACTGAAACAGAAACTTAAAGAAGTAAAAATGGGCCAAGGAAATAGCCGGCTGCTTTTTGTACATATGCTTAAAAATATGCTTAGAGTAAGAGGGGCCAAAGTGGGCCAGCAACAATTAACTAAGTTTTTGCAATTTGTAGAAGAAGTATGTCCCTGGTTTCCGGAAGAAGGGACTATAGATTTAGAAACCTGGAAAAGGGTAGGACAAAAGTTACAAGACTATTATGATGCCCATGGGCCAAGTAAAGTGCCAGTGGATACTTTTGGATTATGGACATTGATAAGGGATTGCTTAGATCCCAGGCACGAGAGAACTCAATGGCAGGAACAAGGCAAGGATGCTTTTACTGGCCCTGAGGCTCCACCTAATCCTGATATTGCACCCACTGCTCCACTGCCTCCTTTTACTTCCCTCTTTTTTGATGAGAATGAGGAATCTTTAGATCCAGGAGATACTGCTCGGTTAGAGGATGAGACAGCTAAATATCATGAGGAAGAAGAGGTTGAACAATTAAAACAGAAATTGGCTAATTTGTCTTTGCAGATGCAAAAGCTGGCCATGGGGCCTCAGCCCTTAAAAGTGCCAATTTTTAAAGTTCCTCAGGATCCACCGAGGTCAGGGGGAAGGCTGACTCCAACTATAATTGCAGGCTTAGATCCCCCTCCTGTGAGTTTTGCCCCTGTTGGACCAACTGGCACACCCCTTTGGATTAATCAGAAACCAATGCCTCAAACAGGGTTACAACAAGGGCTGCAGCAGGCTGCTTCACGGCTTTTAGGGAACCTAGAAGCCAGTTCTCTGCTGGTCAAACAGCTGGCTTATGAAAATGCAAATTCTGCCTATCAAACGACAATCAGAACTTTTAGAAAGGAAGAAGACGTAAGTGATTATGTTAGGTTGTGTTCTGACATAGGGCTGTCATATATGAAGGGACTTGCTGCGACTGCTGCCCTGCTGGGAAAGTCCATGCGGGAAA